GGATGGACGGACAGACAGATGGATTGATGGACGGATGGATGGACGGTTGGCAGACTACAAAAGACAGGCAGACAGATTGCAAACATATATATACATACCTCCTCCAATTATTACAAATCRTCTTTTATCTGGAGAACCAGGGCTTGTCTTGGAAGAGGCGGCTTTGACTCTCTTATGAGACTTAAATTGCTAAGATTTAAACAAAATTATATTATTATGTAAACCATCATAAGGCAGGAAATGGAAGCATTGTTCCATGATCAATGATTAATTACTACAAATCTATTACCTCAGGATGTGCTTTCACAATGACTTGGTTCCCTGATACGACAACCTATAAAAAACATCACATTTAAATATCATTACAAATRGGGTAAAAACATAAGCAAATATTTAATTTCTTCCTATTATTATTGAAATTTCATTTCCTCAAATTTTCGACACACTTTTATGTTTGTCTCAAATCCTTTTCATCTTATTTGCACCGATCTTCATTCTACTTTTATTGTATTTATTATTTTCYATTATTACGTCATTTTATTTATTATTTCAATCCCATTTCACTTTTTTCATTTTTATTTGTCTCCTTTTCATCTCCTTTCATCTTCATTCCACTTTAATMTCATGTTTATTTTTCATCTCATTTTCATATCTTCTTTTAATTGTATTATAAGATACTATACCTCAAATTTTGGAATGCTGTCCAGTCCAGGAAAATCTTCGATATCACCTGTCTTGATGTTAAAACAAGCACCATGCCAGGGACATCTTACCCTTCCATTACATAATGCTCCACTAGCTAAGGGTGCACCATAGTGAGTGCACTTATGCCCGACGGCATAATACTGCCCATATTCTCTAACCAGGAGAGCTTTTCCTTCACCAACGTCCACAGTCTTCATTCTAAATAGAATTTTTTTTAAATTTCTTTATTGAAATTTCACTGTATTTTTTAATTTCTGATATAAATGAATTCATGTTTCGTAGCTTATTTTTCTCAAGAATAAAATTTAATTGTTTTYATTGCTTTTTGATCAACTTACTCTCCATCTTTTAAGTCATCAACATTTGCAACAACTGCTTCAATCATTGAAGTCATAATTGTATCGGCTAAAAGACAAAAAGAAAATAATTATCGTAYATGAAATTCAACCTTATCTATTAATTCTATTTAATTAGTTTTATTCATTTTTAGTTTAATAGCGTTAGCCAAAACATGGATAATATTTCAAGCTACTATTATATCCATTGGTATAAAAACCGCGCCTTTTATAAATAAACCTTTCAATTCGGATAATTTTAAATGCAAATTTGAAGCGAAAAATATTTTTTTAGAGACAAGGAAACGCAAAGTATCTTAAAATATAAAAACACAAATGGAAAGTCCATTTATAGTATTTGCGATCCCAAAACTGCTGGTGTTATGCTGTCAACTCCGGCATCTGTTCATGTATCTCAGGTTTCTGTGGGTTTAAAATACGCACACATGACAACAGAAATATGGTTAACTTAGCTATTAACCGACCACCGCAGTGTTAAAAACAAATAATACAACTGTACCAAAATTATATAATCAAAAATTAATCTAGAACACGATTAGGGAAGATTTTTCTAATGAAAAATATGACTACAATTTTTAAAATGCGAGTTAAATATTGTTTTTATGTGCAATGTCCAAGCTGTGATCGTTACATACGTACAAGACTCGAATCCCATACTATTATTGAAAACTTTGTAAATATTTAACAGCAGGTTAAAGGCCATAAAGCAAAGACTGTAATGATATATTGTTAAGCTGAATATTGAGCGGGAAAGTTGAAGTAGAAATTCAGAAATCTTAACATCCTTTCTCTCTTTCTTATTGGCAAGTTTACAGCTTTCATCAAACTAGTCGAGCCTAACGTCTCGTAAAACTCCACCTTAACTGACCTTCTGATATTGAGCTGTGCAAAGTTCCCGTGGTGGAAAAGCTAGCAAGTGAAAACTCGTAACTTGTACGGCGCTTTACAGATACAGGAACACCCATAATAAGAGGTTTTTGAGTGTTTACAAGCAGCCCACTAAGTGAGGCTGCACAGTGCCAGACCCTGTGCATATTACGTAAGGAAATCATAGCAAGCTGCACGATAATTTAGACTATTAGCAGGTTAGCCTGATCATCAATGCAAATTTCTGCAAGGATTATTATAAAACGTTTACTAGTTTACCTGAAATATTGGTTTTCAGTTTGGAAATGCCTGAAGACCGATTATATATACTCGTTCAGATCGTCACGCCACGGTTGACATAGGGAGCCCAAATATTCAAATTAGAAAGTTCGCATAATTAACAGCTGTCAGGAAATATTCATCATTATAACAGTTAGGTGATTATGATAATTTAAATTATCTTGTGATTTTTTTTCATGATTTACTTAATTGATGTTAAAAAAACATCAAGAAACGATATTATGGTCGATGTGGTTTTCAACCATTCCCAAGAGAATTAAATAACAAGACATGGCAGATATAACAAAAAAATTGACAGTCCTTTTGTTAAGTTCCTCCAACATGGCCCCTGTGAAAACCATCAATACTTTATATGCAAGGTATATATATATATAATGAAGGGGGTGACAAAACACTAATCCAATCTGTGGGACAAAACAATATAGTCCATTTCTCTAAAGGATATTAATATTTTTCATTGTTTTGATCCCCAGGTAGGAATTAAGTGCAATAAATCTATCGACCCATTTGGTCTATACTCCAAATGTTAAATAACTGATAATAAAAACAAATCAGATACCAATAGATGATTTCCTAGATGCGCAAGCGCTTTCATAAACATCACAAGCGCAGACATGAAATTGAGGCATTTTCAGGCARAGTTCATAGGAAACCTTTGGAAACAATAAAGTTAAAGGCGATTTCTGAGTCTTAAAGAAAAAAATTTGTCTGAAGAAGTGAGCTTTTCCCTCAAAACACATTATAATCCTGCCTGTGAACTAAAAAATACTTCATTGGGAAATCATCTATTGATACACACTTTATCAAAATTCATATTATGTATCAATCAGGAATTATCCTTTTGTTGTCAACACTTGTACATCAACACAAGCAAAAATTAAATAATGTATTTATTGTATCAAGAAGATAATCCAATGTGCATAAAGAGATTTATTTCATGTTTAATCCACACACAGAAATTTAACAAATGTTTTTAAAGCATTACGATAGAATGCAGCTTGACAAGGCAGAAAACCTAATGTTCATGATCATCTCCATCAGAGTAGCCCTCTGGAAGAGCATTGGCATGATCATTGTGAAAGAGGGAATGGTTGCCATCTCCCCATGGAAAAGTCTGCAAAATAAAGAGATAATAAAAGAGAGGGATGTGAATTCAGCTTTCTTTTTCCTTCAGATATTATCTATAAAATTAAGCTGCAWGATYAATAGACCTCTTTAGCYTGGGTGTAATGTTTTYTCATTTCACACCACCTGCCATTACCTAGAGTATCATTATTCTTTGTTTGATGATTGTGCAYRAGAAGAMAAACCTTAYTTCTGATCYTTAGATRGCTATAAATGGCTRTTGGGTGTGATGTKTTCTCATTTCATACCACTTGCCATTMCCTAGAGWATCATTTCTTTGTTTAATGATTGTGCATGAGAAGACAAACCTTATTTCTGATCYTTAGATRGCTATWAATGGCTATTGGGTGTGATGTKTTCTCATTTCATACCACCTGYCATTCCCTAGAGWATCATTTCTTTGTTTAATGATTGTGCATGAGAAGACAAACCTTATTTCTGATCCTTAGATGRCTATAGGGAACAAACTCAGGCCTTGGATGTGTGTGATGTTCAACCTCACATACATATGCATTATATGTGCACAGTATGAGGGCAGGCACTGCTACTATTCCAGAAATCAATTTCCATGTCTTCATGGTACCTAAACCAATAAAAATACATCATTAGCAATTATTCACCGGAGGTGAAGTGAATATCGGAGGAATATTTACCAAGACACGACCAACTTGTGTACAGAGTAACTTATTTCTATATACAACAATTCAATAAAAACAAACGAACAGAAACTTTTAATTTGTGTGACAAATTCACACGAAACTTTTAGCAAAACTTTTAGGCCATACTTCCTTGCTTTTTTAGTATTGATAGGAATGGCATTTACTTTCATTTTTTCAATTTCCTGCAAAACCATTGCCGGCAGATGCCATTTTGTTGCCGATTCAATATTCCGAGATTCAGAGGTGAATATYGTACAATATTCACCTCCAATTAACCAATGAGTGTGGGCGTTCTTAGGAAGTACACAAGTTAGTATATACTAATTTTTCATATTCTTGGAGTGCAAGCATATAACTCAAAAATGCTAAAGATATAAATAACAATGAAACAGCTGTCATATTATTATATTATTAGTTAATCTAACAAGAGAAGCTAATAAAAAATGTTTTGTTATCATCAACTAACATGGCGGCTATGATGTAACATACACCCCAAGAATTGGAGAGAATTGGCAGAGGGCTCTTACATTTGGGGGGGGAGGGTGGGTAATTAAGTCCAAAAATCATTAGTACGATAAGGAAGATSAATTTTGCTTTCTAACATGAGCTAAAGATGTATATGGTGGTGATGCACCTGTCTTCTGTGATTGTGCTTGTTTCTTCGAGGGGAGGAGCAGCGCTGCCAATTCTCCCGAATTATCTGGGTCTCAAGATGTTGGACCTCAGGAAGGGAGGGGGTGAAGGGAGTCTTTGAAAGTGAAAAAACCTRGATCCTTTATGGATCCACTTGTGGTCATAGACAGCCATCCGGTAGCGTTGTCACGGCCCTTTTGTATCCATTTCTAGAATTGAATGCTTCAGGGGTTGGCCGTATACAGACGTTACGTTGTTAACAATGTATACTCTATAGATAGCGCTAAATAGTAAGCATCCTAAAGAAATAACATAACATCACGACTGACATCACCTTATATRCAGAGTATTTAGAGTAAACTGGCTGTTTGTTGCTGTTATTTCTCTAMGTTTTACGCTAAAACAAAGAAATAAAAGTGAAAAGAAACCCAACAGAACAAACCTGTAGCATGTTTTTCTTCAGCTAGAAGTTCTTCTTTTAGATTAGCCCTCACTGCTGAGGTATTAAAACCTCTTCTCGTCAACACACGAACAAAACGGAACGCCATCTTGAAACCCTTTCCAAGGAAGTATTATGGGCTACAACTTGACCTGATATAAACTTGATCGTGGTTGGTTAAGAACCAACCAATCAAAAGTGCTTTCTCATGCTTATCCAAGATGGCGGATGACACGTAAGAATGTTTGTGAATCATCTCTCTTTGACTCTCTCTTTACATTGATTTTTGGGACTTATAAAATCATAATTCGAGCTTCTGGTATGGATTACTTCGAAGAGCAAAGGGAAGAGATTGAGTCTTTAAAAGCGATATTTCCAGATGAATTTGCGGAGCTGAACACTTGTCCTCCAAGTTTTATGATTCGCCTTGATGAACTGGACCTTCCTTCCGGTTGTGTTCAGTTGAAAATAACTTTTCCCGATAAATATCCCGAAGAAGTTCCTTTTATTGAGATACCAAATCGCTCTAATGTACTCCCAACGGAAATTGTTGGTGAACTTCTAAGGCATCTTCAAGAATGTACTCAAGAATATATTGGAATGGCTATGGTATTCACATTGGTCAACGAGGCCAAAGAATGGATCAATCAAARCAAGAATAAAATCATAGATATTAAAAATCAGTCAACGAAAACAGATTTGGTTGAAGCTGAGGCATCATCAGATGAAGAAGAGCTTGCAGACTCAAGGAATATCAGTTATACAGATAGTAAAACTGGAGGCCGATGGGATTATGTCATTGGGCTCATTGGTATGATTTT